TTAAATATTTAATATAAATTAGCAATAATTTATATTAAATTATATGGTTATTATATTTCATTATTTTGTTAATTTTATAAAATTTTTATAATAATATTATTATTTATTACGTTATCCGGTTCGACTGAACTATCATTCAGGTTCGTTATCTGGTCTGGTTTTCATAATCTTGTTTTTTTGAAAAAAATATCATTTTTTTTCTAATTTTTAATTTAAAATAATCCGAAAATAAAAAAGCCTTAATGATTAAATAGATAATGGGGAAGTTTTGGCATGCAAATGTATTGAAATTAATGAAATTCATGTTTTCAAAATTATGATTTTTGAATAAAACCAAAAATTAAATTTATTTTAAATTAATTTAGGAATTTGTTAAGGTTAATTTGGATAAATTATGGATTTAGAAAAAATTATGGATTTTTAAAATTAGGGGTTATTTAAATCCGAAAATAATTATATTTAAATTACTAACTTAATAAAAATAAAATTTGATTAATGATTTGGTAAAAATAGTTTACATGCTTTTAGATATTTAAATTAGAGAGAGAGAGAGCCTAGGGTATATTTAAAAGAGAAGAAATGAATTGAAATTATTAAGTTAGATTATAAACAAGAAATTATTTAATATATGTGATAATCTTTTGACCTCGCATGAAGTACGAGTGAAGAAATCAAATCCCTTAAATAAATGTGAGTACTAATGGTTCTTTATTTACAGTAATAATTTTATTTTTCTCTAATTAAATGTTTTAAAAATGAAAGCACGTTTATGAAAATTTTATTGTTAATTAGACATGATTTATATCTCTCATACCCAATGATTAATCACGCTGAGTTAAATGAAAAATTACATGCTGCTTTTCATGATATATATTATAATGATGATATGACTAGATATATGTGATTGCATGTGCATATTGACTGATGTAGCTCATTCTCTTATATTACTGGTTGGGGACGTAATGTATCCGTCCATGTTAATAGTAAAGGAAAAGAAAATAATATAGGAAAAAGAAGTACTTTCAGTGATACTAAATTAGGCAGTGACTCTTGTGACGGTTCTACTTTTTATGAGAAATAAAAAAGATATGAATACAGATATGATGAATGCAAATATATACATATAAAATTAAAATATAAGATATGGACTGAAAAGAGATCATGCATTTTGCTTCAACTACCTTGAGTTATTGTAGTTCAAAAACATGTGTTACTCCCTAAGCTGTAATTTATTTTAGTTGCTCTAACAATTTTTACAGGTATAACTTAATATAATTAAAATGAGAAGGAGAGGTGGAAATGTATATCATCGACGTGAGACACCAAATGAAAGGTATTTGAATGATTTTGTTCAGTATTTTTTTTAAAAGATTTTTGTGGCTCTTTTAAGATATTGTTGATAGATTTAACAATTAAAAATTTAATCTACCGTCCGGCCGTCTGTTCCTGTCTCGTTAATTCGAGCCCTTGGGCCGGGTCGTGACAACATCCAACTTAAAATTATTACATCATTAATTGTGCACACTATGGATATAACATATTGGATGCACCCCCATCATAGTTAACCATTCAAAATTGAGTCAATTTTTGCATTTTTTTATTGGTGGCTGCCCTTTTGGTGACAATGACAACTTCAGAAGTTCACTTATTGCAATTACAGGGCAAAATCTAGGCATTTATTGTTAAAGAATGTTCTATTTATCGCATTAGTTGACGTCATAGAGTAGGGGTGTCAATTCGGGTCAACGGGTCGGGTTCGGGTCGAACCCTAAACTGACCCGACACTATTCGGGTCAACCCGAACCTGACCCGTTTTTAAAAATAGGTCAGGTTTCCGGACATGAACCCGACTCGATTCGAGTCCGGGTCAACCCGACCCGACACGAATGACCCGAAATTGACCTAAAATTGCTAGTTTTCTAGTCAAAATCGGGTTAATCTTCGATTTTTTGGGTCAAAATCGGGTCAAAAATGGGTCAATCTCGGGTTTCCTAGTCAAATAAGAGTTTTCATGTCAATTTCGGGTTGCTGGGTCAAGCCGAATCCGACCCGATTTTTAAAACGGATTTATTTGTTGAACCCGAACCCGACCCGTTTCGGGTCCGGGTTGATCCTAACCCGGATTTTTCCGGGTCGGGTTCGGGTCGTGTTTCAGGTTGTGTCAAAAATTGACACCCCTAATCTAGAGACACTGCTATTCACATTACAGGAGGAATTCTGTTGGCCTTGCCTTGCTTTTTTTGGCTTTTACATGTGTTTGTGGTGACCAACTTACGTGCATTTGGCATCGCTGTATTTGATTCTAACTACCTAAGTGGCAACTTGCTTTAAAATCTCTCCAAGTACTTGGATATGTACTGCTTGTGTATAGATTTCAACATTTAGATTGCAATTGTGCTAGACCTCTTAAATTTTTTGCCATATGGAGATTTTCCATCTAATAATTCTTCTATCTTTTTGCTGCGCTTTTGGGTCTTTTTGAGCTTAGATAGCATTAAATTCTCGCACTCTAGCATGAGGATATATCTTTTGGAACACAACAAAACTCAGAACGTGCATTGCATTGGTTGAATGCTGATCAGAGCTCAGCATTTATACTGGAAATTTCAGGCAGAAGCTGTTCTTCCTTCTTTCTTCCCAGAATCTAGCATGTTCTTTGCTTCAAAAGCCCAGTATACCATCATACGCAATTTACCTGGCCTTGTTGTCCTGTGTATCTGCTGCATGCTTGCTGCTTTATGCTGTTATAAAACTGCAACTTTTCTCCTTAATCATGGATCATTACACTATTTACCAGGAACCTACTTTTACTATTTTATGCCATACGCTTGTGTTGTAATACATCACTGTAGCGCCAAATATTAACTTGTATATGATACATATGCACCTGTCTATTAGTGTTTCTAATTTTTTTAATTTTTATTTTTATTTTTTTTTAAACTATAAATTTCTCTTAAAATAGATATTGTGTGGTATTTAGTACCTATTTTTTCTTTATGTTAAGGTCCCATTCTGCCCAATGGTTGGGTCAGAGGTTTATTCATCAGAGGTGAAGAAGACTGAAGTGCTCATGGAAAATTTTAGGAGAGCTATAGGCTTGCGTATAAAGGAGAACAAGGAGGTTTACGAAGGAGAGGTTGGTTTTCATATTTTTTTAAATTTCTTGAGTGTTTTCTTTTGTATTCTAATGAAGACCAACTTTATGTTTGTTAAATTGGTACTATTTTATGTTAAATTAATGGTCTCCAACATTTTTTTTTTGTGATTTTGGATTCATTGGTTGTCTCCCTCTTACAGGTGACTGAGCTCTCTCCAGAAGAAACAGAGAGTACAACAGGAGGCTATGGAAAAAGTATTAGTCACATCATCATTGGACTAAAAACTGTCAAAGGAACCAAACAGCTGAAATTGGATCCCACCATTTATGATGCTCTAATAAAAGAAAAGGTAATTTATGGTATTTAGTTTGAAAAAGTTATTCTTAATTCTTAACCAGAACCCCTCCAAGCAAATTATTCTTGACTAGAATTTTTGCATAATCTCCCTCGGAAATCCTCGATTAATATTCTTCTGGTGTGGCAGCAAGCAGTGCTTTTGATTGCTGCCATGCTGAGCAGTAACTGGGAAAGCTCATACCACTTGGTAGCCGGTAAAGCTTTCCGGTTTGTTGTGTTGAATTGTGTGGGTTGGAAAACTTTGTCAAATTAAACCTAATTTCACGTCTTACATCTTTGAGCAGTAACAAACAATCATGCCTTCCTTAATTTTCTTATGTTTTCGTTTTATCCTTTTCTCAAAAGCATGGATGATTTTGGCATTTTACACTTTTTGATTGCTAATGGGAACTACAGGTTGCTGTAGGTGATGTAATATACATTGAAGCAAATAGTGGTGCTGTTAAGCGAGTAGGTAGGTGTGATGCATTTGCTACAGAATTTGATCTCGAAGCTGAAGAATATGTTCCGATTCCCAAAGGAGAAGTGCACAAGAAAAAGGAAATTGTGCAGGTAGAATATTTCTCATTGCTATTAATTGACTGGTATTAAACAGATTAGTTTTCTGCTGTAATATATGTAACTCTTCTCTGAATTATTTATGCTTTGACAAAGGATTGCTGAGGGTACCATCTTTATATGTATGCGCGACAACTTTAATATTTATGATTTCCTATTACATGGATGTTATTCATTGTTCATTAACTTTTACTTAATGAGCTATAAAACTGCATTTACTTAAATTGTAGGTTGTTTATTTCACTTTCTTTATATGTTACCCAACATCCATATTTCCAACAGTCTTCTTTAAGATTTAGTTTTTCTGTAACTACTTTTTTATTTGTATTTCCTATTATCATATACATTTCTGTCTCCTGTGACAATTTTTCTGGTTTCCTCTATTTTAATTGACCTAAGTTTTGGCTAGAGTGCTTGGGTGAACGTCATATTTGTTCATATCATGCTGTATTTGAAAGCTAGCTGCCAATAATGTGATTTTTTACACATTTTTTTCAGCGTGGCATAACTTACATTAATGCCTATAACTGGTATTCATGAAGTTAAAGGTACTTTTTTCATGGTTATCTAAAGTTGAGTGGCCTTATTAAGTTATGTTTGATTTGCAATCAGGTTATTGACACTCAAAAAAGTTTGTTTTGATAGAAGTGTTGTTTTAAACTTATCTTTTTCAGTTTGAATTACATTCCATCTCTTGCTGACCATGCTTTGTTTATTTTTATAATATATGCATGGAGTGCTAACCTTTTATTAGTAGTTATTTGAGTAAAAATTGAGTGATCGAGATAATGGGTTATTGATTAATTTCATAAGTAGTTGTGGATTGAGCAAATAATTCCCAATTATGATATGATTATATTAAGGATCATTATATATTGTTTGCTTTTGTGTTGGTTATGTAAATTTTTACAAAGGTTATTTTAAGTTAGGTAGCGTTGTGTATGCTATTTGCAAATAATGGTTCTCATAGGTGAAAACTCTATTGTGATAAGTAAAAAAGTTAGAACAAGCGGCAAAAAATGTTGAATATGGGGGGCTTATGGCTTGTAGAGCGATACACAATCATATGATTACATCAAGGATCGTTATCATATTTGTGTTCTTTTGTGTTGGCTATGCAAAATTTTACATAGATTATTTGAAGTGAGATTTTGTTGTGTATGCTATTTCAATTAACACATGTTATAGATGAAAACTCTATTATAATACGGAAAAAGTAAGAATAATCTGGGAAAAAATGTTTAAGGTGAGAGGCATATAGTTTGTAAAACAAAGATCGAGGACATTGATATGTAATTTTAGTGGTTGTGAATTCAATTATGTTCAATCAATACTATTGGAAGAACAATTATATAGCTATGATATGTTTAGATAACTTAGATCTATTAATAAGAGAATAGTGGTATAAATGAGCATATATTTTTTTTTGGAATGAAGGTTGAGTGTCTAATATAAAGAATTGCGTTAGGAGTACTACATGATAAAGTCTATCATTGGAAGGCTAATTATAAATTTTATAAGACAACAAACTCAGTCAAGGCCCAAGGCTGGGATGGCAATGGTTTGATTGTGTTATGTAGACTTGAGTGGTAAGCAATAAAAAACCATTGATAGCCAACTTGAGTGAGTTTCAAAAAATGGGAATGCTAAAATGGATTTGTTAAGTAAGATCAAATGGTTAATATTGAAAGTGCTTTATGAGTACTATGTGGTAAAAGACGATATCATGGAGAAATATGGTAAATGTTATAAAACAACAGGTTGACTCAAGAATGAGATGACAATGCTTAGATTATTTCATATGGATTTGAGTGTAGAACGATTAAAAATGTAGCTTGCAGTTAGGTTGAGTGAGACAAAAATGCGAGTGTAGGATACAAATTGGAAGATAGATTAAGAAATGATCATATTAGAAAGACGGTGAGAGCATCATCTATCTAATTGATTAATAGTGGTTAAAAGATGCATACCAATATGATAGGAAAATATAATTAATGTGGGATGATTAAGAAGGAAAAAGGTAGATTAGTAACAACAATGTTAGAATTTGTGCAAAATATTTATATAAAATGCAGTAAGCTCCTTGTTTCACGCTCAATTGGAAAGAATGAGGATCCATGAAGGCCACCAGGGCTAATGTTGATTTGACCAATCAAATATGAAGTATTTTATGTCTTATTTCGCTAATCTACTTGTTCGGGATGACATAACACTTTTACATGATCTGCGTCTTTGATTGCAAATATTCCCAAAGTAATCTTGTTTATTGCCCCTTCCCTTTTTTCATAAAAAATATGGCCTTATGACATATTCTTCTAGCATGTTATCTGTGCTGTCTTTCATGTTTTTTGTGGCTCACTGCTGGTCTACCATTTTAATTCAACTAAAACAGAATTGGACATGGAATATTTGTACCTTCTATTTTATGTTTGGAGAAACAGGCTCATGAAGTATTCTTTTTTAATTAGGATGTTACACTACATGATCTTGATGCTGCTAATGCTCGCCCACAAGGAGGGCAGGACATACTGTCTCTTATGGGGCAGATGATGAAACCTAGGAAAACTGAGATCACAGACAAATTACGACAGGAAATTAACAAGGTTTGTCTTCTTTGTTAAAATATCTTCTAGACTTGTTATCTTCATGCAAGCCTTTTCACTTGTGGATATACATTTAATCTAACATTGCTAAGATTACATTCTCTCAAAGCTCGATAAAATTATACCAATCTCATGATGGTGAATCGGTATATTAAATCTTTGCTTTTATGAAATGCATAGGTGGTTAATAGGTATATTGATGAAGGCGTTGCGGAGCTTGTACCGGGGGTATTATTCATCGATGAGGTAAGTTGTCATGTCAATTTCTGTATTTTGTTCGTCGCAGATGGCTAAGCTCTTATATTGCAAATCATATTTGCAGGTTCACTTGCTTGACATGGAATGCTTTTCTTACCTCAATCGTGCTTTGGAGAGCTCATTATCACCAATTGTCATATTTGCTACCAATAGAGGAATATGCAACGTAAGGTATACATTAAAAACATTAAAATTTGGCTGAGTGCACTTCTGTTCAACTTGTTCTAATTATGAAGCGCATGTTATATTTAAGACTCTCTTTAATGGTAGTTAATCATTTATTTTTAGTGATCTTAGTTTTATTTTTAAAGGCATAAGCTGGTTGTGTAATTTTTCATGGAGTGAATTTCCAATGAGCGATATTTAAATGCCATATAAAATTTAAGCACAAACATCTGCAACATGCTAACAACTGTAGATTAAAAACCATTCCTTGAACTGATACTTTTAAAGGAATAGATTTTAGTCTAGCCTAGTTTTACTTTCATTGCTTTGATTTTTAAATTTTAACTAAATAGCTAAAATCATTAGTTTAGGCTGCGTTTGGGATGGCGTTCTTATTGCTTCTTAAAGCAGTTTTCAAATATAAAAATTAAAAAAATTTAACTAGAAAGCTGCCTTAAGAAGTAGCAAAAAAACCGTCCCAAATGAAACCTTAGCCTTTTGGTAACCAAAGTTTAGCAAACAAAATTTAGGCTAACTAAATCTAGCCTAGGTGAAGAACTAAAATAAGGTAAACTAAATTATGGTTGCCAAAAAAATTGCACCGTAAGCTGTCTTTTTCAGTTCAAGGAGCCATCTTAATATTTGGTTCTCAACTTCCTTTCAAAGCTGTGTAATTTTGTTTTAGTATCATATGCTATTTGTAGGGTCCACTTACGCTTATGCATATCCATATGCTTTTCTGTACTTTTTTTTTCCTCCAGAGGAACAGATATGACTAGTCCACATGGCATACCAGTGGACCTACTTGATCGGCTTGTGATTGTACGTACAGAAACTTATGGTCCTACTGAGATGATTCAGGTTTTTAACTATGGTTTTAACCATCTTATCCCTCTTTAAATGAATAAAATATTTTTACAAACAGAACTTTCCTGTAACCAATTGTTCACGTTGTGTTAGATTTTGGCTATTCGTGCTCAAGTTGAAGAGCTGGCTATTGATGAAGAGAGCTTAGCCTATCTTGGAGAGATAGGACAGCATGCATCATTAAGGTTTGTTGATGTCTTCTATTGTGCGCTTTCTGATAAGTTTAATTCAATTTTTTGTTTAATGACTGATGTTGGATCTTATCTCCATATGGAATATCCTAACTGGTTAATGTAGGCAAATTCATCTTTGACTGCTGCATTTCTAACTTGCCCATGCCTTCATAACTTACACATGTTAATTAAGCGGTCATTTGTCATGATAGTGAACATAATTAACCACTATTTTTATAAGCTAATGTCTTTTCCTATGTGCTGCTTTATGTTCATAATTTAAATTTCTACCACCTAGTTTGTGTACTTTATTTTGTTCTAATTTGCAAGTAGGACATACAAATCATGTTTGTGCTTTCACACGCATCTGTATTTTTAGATTGAGGTATATTTTCTGAAGAAAGCTCTATTATTTCAGTTCATACCTTACCCCACCTTCACCTTTAGAATCTTTATTGGTGAGATTAGGCATGTGAGGGAATGGCCAAGATGCACAAATAGAAGGCATCTTAAGTTCTTGGGTTTTATAATGTAGATCTTGGATAAATTTATGAGATACGCCACATCACACACAATGCCGACTTTACTGTTTAAACTTTTAATTTTGATAATTATAAGTAACTACAAATGAAAATTGGAAAATACATAAAATTTGTGAAATGATAATCTAACAATTGTTAAATAGAAATATTGCATAAAAGCTCAGAATCATAGGACAATCAGATGCTTGGTTGAAACTCACACTTTAATTAGAAAAATTAGATTATATCGGATTTGAAAATAATTAATTATGCAATTAAACTAATCACCAGTCACCAAATAACATTCTAGCCCTCAAGTTAATATAACGAGATAACTCATCCCTTAAATTTGTAGTCTCTAATTATATCACATTTCAAAGAATCACATCTAGCGGCATATACTCAAAATAGATTATTAATGGAATTATTTTTTGCACGCATAAAAAAATCCCATTTATAGTTATAAAATCTTTTAATTTTAAAGGTTATATGCTAGGCTCGCTAATACTTTTCTTTACATGCATAAAAAATCCTTATTTATAATCATAGATTTACTTAATTTTCAAGGTCAGAAAATAGCTCACCAGCTAGCGTAGAAGGATATAGTTCTTCAAGTAACCATCTGATGTTGAGAAAATATAAGAGCAATTATCATATATGAAATCTAATAAGAGGGAGTTGCAATCATCAAGGAATCTTTTTTCAACAATCGCAATGCACGCTAAGCTAGCTTTAGTACTTGAAAGAAGGTCATAAGTTTTGAATAGCTATAGTACCCAAATGAAGCATAGTCTCAAAAGGGAAAAGAGAGAGTTCCACATCCATTTACCATCCTTGAAAAAATTGTACTTCGAAAAGTTGATATTTGTCGAGCAACTTGGTTGTTAATTGTTGCACTTCCTATAGATAAATCATAAATCATTTACGAGCAAACCTGTCAAGCCAATGGATTAGATGCCTTTGGCATTCACCTTCAGTTGTGAGCACAGTTTGTTCATAATGTTAATTTACCTGCAAGATGTGTATGATTGTCAAAAGAAGTGTTGGATGCAAATGCATGAAGATATGGAAAAATAAAAGAATCCAATGAATCGGAGTCTTGTTAATGATATAAAGAAAAATCATATTTATTCAAAACTAATACAAAAAATTTCTATAATTTCCAATTTATAACCATTTATCTCACTGAATTTTATGATTTTTATGATCCCTCCTTTTTAATAATTAAATTTTTAATGGCTTATTTAGGAAATTAAGTTAATCTAAGCATCATAAGAGGATTGTGATAGAAAACACTTGCAGAAAAATGAAAGAACCTTGGCTGAATTTGAAATTCAGCAGTTAGCAAAAGCAAAAATTAAGAGGAGATGGTGGAATAACAAAATAACAACCATTTTAATTTATAATAGTGGAAGAAAACAACAAGATTCAATTGATCCTCAATTGGAGACTAGGATCTAGCTCTCCCAATCTCCAGACGCCTCTAGAGCCCATTTAAAATCTAAGAAGACTCCAAATTTAAGCAAAATACAAGACCACCTAACCTTAAGGAAAACATACAATCATAGTGGAATTCTCTAAGCAACCCCTCCTTTGAATTTTCCCTCCTAAACCACCTAAAAACCTTACTAATTGGTGCATGTTGGCCCCCACACAGAGAGGCGAGCTCTGTTCGTGCGGAACAGTCGTTCCACCCTCGATAGAAGCAAAGCCGGTCCCTCCTGGACCAGTCTAATAATTCTCCTCTCTCAAAGACCCACCTTGTCCTCAAGGTGGAAAGAAGACACCCTCCTCCACTACCTCTTCATCACAAACAATGAGAACCTAAAGAGTTCGGTTCTTACACCTGTGCCCCGGTGTATACCTCTCCTACATCTAAAACACAGCTCCTTCACCCTCTTCTCCTATAGCTCCGTCTTTGTGAGTTTCTTTAAGTTTTCCCTTGGTCTTCCTTATGCAGTCTTCTCTTTCAGGGTCTCCTTAAGAGTACCCGGTGTCGGTTTTTTTGATGTCAAAAAGGTGGTCGTCATCTTGTATGAATCTCTTGAGTTGCTGCCTGTAGCCCCACTCTCCAAGTGCTTTTTATCCTCCACTAATTGGGCTAGCTCCATAGTCTCTCCCAAATTATTAGGCCTCATCACTCTGACTGTTACTCGAATATCTGGTTTGAGCCTTTTCGTAAAGTTCCCCTCCAGTACAATCTTCGATAGCTGGTCAAGTTGACTGGCCAAGTGCTCATATTGTTCACGGTACTCCATAACTATCCTCTCCCGCATCAGGGCAAATAACTACTCAGTGAAGTCTCCTCCACTACTGGTTTAGAAACGCTCCAACAAGCAGTTCATAAACTCCCTCAATGTCCGTATGGGTCGCCTTGTATCCATCCACTGATACAATTTAAAACTTTTCCCTCTAATAACATTATTGTTGTCGTCAGTCTCTCCTTCTCCGTCAACCTATTGACGATAAAGTATCTTTCCATCTTGTAGATTCACATATGGGCATCATCTCCCTAAAAAAATAAACATTTTCTATTTCCTTACCCTCGGATTGCCTCCGTTCCCTCCATAATTTCTCATTCTCCAAGTGGGTGGTCCCCCCCAAGTGTCCCAATCATCTCTTTTATGTTCGTACCCAACTCTTTCATTAAATTCCCACCTTCTCCTTTCAAATTCAACACCCTTCGGATCATAATTAGTCCATCTCATTTCAAATTCAGCCCCACCCCTTTTAAATTTGGCACCCATTCGATCATAATTAGCCATTCCCTTTCAAATTCAGCCAGTCTCCTCTCAAATTCAGCAATCATTCGTTCATCGACCTCCTCATGCCTCTCCCCATAGCCTTTACGCTATTCCTCCTTAGGAATAGGCTCCAAAGGAAGTATTCTCTCCTCTCCCTCCATAATCTCCCCTTCCTGCTCTTCCCTTCGCCTTATTGGATTAGAGTTTTTCCCTCTCCCTTGGTTGCCGGAGGATCCCTCACCTCCGACAAAGTTGTGTTGCGTTGGCCATCGAGCAACTTCTTTAATATCTCCTCCAGGATAAAAAATTTTTAAATCGATCTTTTCATGAATGACTGAAATTTCACTTTTTAAATATGAAACTTGAGTTTGGAGATATGAAATTTTATATTTCATTTGTCTGATCTCACTTGAAAGAAGGTCATAAGTTTTGAATAGCTATAGTACCCAAAGGAAGCATAGTCTCAAAAGGGAAAAGAGAGAGTTCCACATCCATTTACCATCCTTGAAAAAATTGTACTTCGAAAAGTTGATATTTGTCGAGCAACTTGGTTGTTAATTGTTGCACTTCCTATAGATAAATCATAAATCATTTACGAGCAAACCTGTCAAGCCAATGGACTAGATTCCTTTGGCATCCAGCTTCAGTAGTGAACAGAGTTTGATCATAATGTTAATTTACCTGCAAGATGTGTATGATTGTCAAAAGAAGTGTTGGATGCAAATGCATGAAGATATGGAAAAATAAAAGAATCCAATGAATCGGAGTCTTGTTAATGATATAAAGAAAAATCATATTTATTCAAAACTAATACAAAAAATTTCTATAATTTCCAATTTATAACCATTTATCTCACTGAATTTTATGATTTTTATGATCCCTCCTTTTTAATAATTAAATTTTTAATGGCTTATTTAGGAAATTAAGTTAATCTAAGCATCATAAGAGGATTGTGATAGAAAACGCTTGCAGAAAAATGAAAGAACCTTGGCTGAATTTGAAGTTCAGCAGTTAGCAAAAGCAAAAATTAAGAGGAGATGGTGGAATAACAAAATAACAACTATTTTAATTTATAATAGTGGAAGAAAACAACAAGATTCAATTAATCCTCAATTGGAGACTAGGATCTAGCTCTCCCAATCTCCAGACGCCTCTAAAATTCAGCCAAGGTTCAATTGATCCTCAATTTGAAATACAATAGTTTGCAAGAGCCGAAATTAAGAGTAGATGGTGGAATAACAAAATAGAAACTCTTTTAATTGATAATAGTGGAAGAAAATAACAAGATACTCCTCAATTGGAGAGGATAATCTAGCTCTACCAATCTCTAGATGCCGCTAGAGCCCAATTAAAACTTAAGAAGACTCCAAAATTCAACAAAAGATAAGATCACCTAACCCTAGGAAAATATCCTACTTAAAGCATATAATCAAACAACCCCTCATTTGAATTTTCCATTCTAAACCACCTAAAACCTTCCTAATTGTTGCATGTTGGACCCCTCGCAGAGTGGCAGGCTCTGTTCGTGCGGAACAGGCGTTTTGCCCCCGATAGAAGCATAGCCGGTCCCTCCTGAACCGGTCCCTCTTGGACCGGTCTAACATATTGATCAAATGGTTAGAAATCTTAATTCATGTGCAGAAGAATCTCATATTAAGATTGGTTGACTTGTGGGATTCCAAGACCATTGAACCATTTTTATGATTAATAGTTTTTTCTTGTCAAAGTTCATTTTTATTTCGTTTGTTACGTCTAAATCTAAATCGCATTTTAGATCTTCATCAAAAATCTCAAAATCTAGTGCAGCCTGAGACAACCATCTCCTGCATCTCCTTTTCTTATAAATTAGCTAATAAAGTCATATATTTCTTATTCAGGCATGCCATTCAGTTGATGTCACCAGCCAGCATTGTGGCCAAAACAAATGGAAGAGATAAAATCTGCAAGGTATCACAAACTAGAGAGTATCATTATTCCATTTCTCTATGCAAATATTTTTTTAATCCAACCAAATTTGCCAAATTAATTCCACCAGGCTGATATTGAGGAAGTTAGTGCTCTTTATCTTGACGCCAAATCTTCTGCTAGACTTCTTCAGGAGCAGCAGGAGAGATATATCTCCTGATGATCCATTAACTGTTCATCTTTGCAACAAACCTCAAGTACTGAGGCATCGCCAAATGCTCCTATCATTCATTCCTTCTCTTCAGTTTTCACTCGTCATTTGGCCATCGCTGCTTCTGAGCTTCTGCTGTCATTGAAAGAAATGGAGGAGATTCTTCTGCCAATGAAATGTGGGTGTTAGATTTTGAAGGAAAGGTGCAGAAGAAAATGCTGAGATTTTGATTTGGATTTGTTTTATGTAAGCTTTGAAATGGCAATTTGAGGTTTTATTATTAAGCAGGATTTAGGTCTCGTTTTGGTCGATTCCTTTATTATTGACAGATTCAAATTACTTCCTGTAACAACAAATTTTCCTTTTACTTGCTTTCTTTGCATTTGTTTGGTCATAGAATTTTTATGGAAATTATTTGTTGCAACCGATTTTTATTTATTTGTTGGAGTTATTATACTTCTATCTTATCATTTTATTGCATCTTATAAAAATATCGCATTTTTTTCCCATCAAAGATGATAGAGAAATATTAATTCCCTCATAAAATTATGAAAGCCGTTCAAAAATTATTTTTAAGTACTCTCCTATTATGTAGACCAATTTGATTTGTTGGTCGGAAATTTTGACTATCAATTAAGAAGTTTTTGATTCAAGCTTTGCGTATGTGAGGTGCTTTTGAGTTTTGAGTTAATTGGGTTAAGGCTTCGTTTGTGACAACTTTTTTTTTTGCTTTATAAAACGGAGTTTTAGTTAAAAAAGAAATTTTTTTTTACTAAAATTTCGTTTTAGAAAGCAATAAAAAGTCGTCCCAAACGAAACTTAAATGTTCTAAAAAAATTACTCTCCCAAACTTTTAGAAGACGGATCCTAGCCTCAGAAATGTCTCCTCAGTTGATTTTGTTATACTTGCCTGTCGACATTCTTTGCCTTTTAAAATTTTTTGCGGAAGAATGTATAATTTTGTATGAAAATTTTTATGATAAAAAAATACTATCTAATATTGCTAAAAAATTTGTTATTTTATTAAAATTTTGGTTTTGTGTGGGATAACTTTATTTCTGCTTTTTAAAATAATTTTTTAGTATAAAAATTTTAATTTTTGTATTAAAAAAATATTTTATGAAGCAGTAAGATAGTTGTTTCAAAGGAAGCATTAGTCTAAGGGATATTCAACTTTAAATAGTTAGCTATACTTCAATAAGATGCCTCTTATTGTAACTATGTTTTTTGTTTGATTATTATTATGTCGTTGTATTTAAAAAAAATTATATTAGTAATAATGTATATGAAGCAATAAAAAAATTGTTTCAAACAAAAAATAAGATATTTAGAAAATCAAGGTGGAACCTCACTTAGGTCATGTTAAACAACATTTGTAAATTACGTGAATGAAAATATATATGAATGGTGCGAGCATAATAACACAATTTTATGAAGGATTATATTATGATGATAAAAAGCTCGAGTGATTGATGAATATCATTTGATCTTTAAATGATGATGGATGCTATCGAAGCCATAATATAAGGTCTTTTTGATGCAATTATGGTGATAGTAGGATTGTTGAGGATTAGATGAATGCCACTTGGTTTGTTAGCCTTGGGTTTTTTTATTCATTTTCCTTCAAAAATACTTTTTTTATTCAAGTTTTTCAAAGAAAAAAAGGGTTGCGCATGCATGAATAGTAATTTAATTGACTTTTCTTATGATTTGCTTAGTAATTAATATCTTGAACTTTTTTTATCCTAATTCTATTTTCTTTTATCCTAGTATTTCTTACATATTATATTTCATTCCTTGTCTACCCCCGAATCTATATAGTTTATAAAAAAAGATAGCGGCCTTCATGCTATCAAAGGAGCTTTTATGTATTAAAAAAAAAAAAAAAAAAAAAAAAAAAAAAAAAAAAAAACGGAGCTTTTATGTATTCTATCATCAATTAATATCATGGAGCAATCATAAAAGGTAAATACAGATTTACAATAAAATAAGACATTTTTAATATATTTACATGTAAAAAAAATAAAAAATGTATTTATCATAAAATATTAAAATAAACTATTATTTTTAATATATTTCACATCATTCATTATATACTTTACAATACATGAGAACATGTTTTACATTCATGTATAAATTTTTGAAGCCTCAAATGAAAATTGGGTCTGGATGTTCTGATCCAATTTTTCCTCCAAAAGCTTTGTTATAAGAAAGCCACAGCAAATGTTAGGGGTCTTAAGACTTTGTTTGGAATGGTTTTCTTACTGCTTTTTAAAACAATTTTTTAGTAATTTTTGTACTAAAAAGTTGCTTTAAGAAGAAGTAACAAAACCGTCCAAAATAAAATCTCAAAATAAAACCTAAACAGCACAGTTGAGAAGAATTTTGGAGCAGATATTGTTGCATAATGATTGAAAAATAAAGCACTCGAGTGAGTAATCCAATAAAGAGATGAAAAATTAGCAACATTTTGGATATATATAATGGCATACAAGTTCTCCCTATTGGTTCCAACTATTATGACTCAAGAACTAAAAGGGGGTTAGTACTTCTCACCATCTACATTGGTAGGAAAAATGAGTTGGGAGGAAGAAGATTCACCTTACAGGAATCTTGTTTGAATCTCCCCCACCTGACATAATAGGGTAAGAGAAGGGGCTGAGTCTTTATTTTAATGTACAGAACCACTGAAAAAACAGCAAAACAACCACTTCTTTGCACACCACTGAGCTGCTCCACAAACAAGCCTCATAGTTTAGCATTCTTCTTATTCACTACATTAGCACAAGCTTCTCTTGCAGATATCAGCCAGATAGAGGGGGGAAATCGACCTCGTCTTTCAGCTGATACGATTGCGACGATCTGCACATTCATTTTTTTTTTCTTTTTTGAAAAAAGTTGAGTGCGAAAAATATAAATTTGATATAAGAGAGATTCAATCACAAGATAGGAAACAAGTTTAAAATTTTATCGACGATATATTTAAATTAAAAGCTTGAACAAACATCAGTTATGTCTGCCCTACAAAATGATGGCAAGAAGGCCGCACAAATATAACATTCAAGTAAGACATTTGCGTTAACTAAGGTTACATTTGGGACGGTTTCTTACTGCTTCTTAAAATAGTTTTTAAGTACAAAAATAAAAAAAATTTATATTAGAAAAGCTGTTTTAAGAAGCAGTAATAAAGCCGTCCCAAACGAAGCCTAAGTTTCAGCAAGTCTAACAATGGGCATCTAGAGATATATCAATAATCCAATTAACTGGAAGGCTGTTGACAATCATGTTATAATAGAATACTCGCAGAAGCATTTACTAAGGATTGATGCTAAATTGCTAGTCTAATTCAGACATTTATAAAGTACCCAAAGGAATAGCGTTTAAGGATAAGATTAAAGTTTAGGGTTTAGGACGGCTTTCTTACTGCTTCATAAAGCAGTTTTCTAGTACAAACATTAAAAAATTTATACTAAAAAGCTGCTTAAGAAGCAGAAAGAAAGTCGTCCCAAACAAAGCCTTAATCCACTGATTAAGAAAGTTTAGAAAGTGAAAGAAATCTGTACCTTTCTGTATTAGAATGGATAGCTGGTCTCTGCTCAATTAATGCTGGGTTTGGAAATCCAGAGTCCTGACTATGGGAATTTCCATTCTCTAATGATAGAGTTCCAAAGGAAACAGGACCAAGTGAACCAAATTCAAGTCTGCCATAATCGGTTGGCAAATTGATACCATTGGCATGAGGCGAGCCCTTTAAGGCAGGTCGAAACGACAAGTGTGGTATATCTAGAACTGGAGGCCTCCCACGTCCGCTTCCGCCAAACTGTGTAGCAGGCTCATGAGGTCCTTTTTCTAAGTTCTTATCATGGGATATATCTGCACGGCCATTGATCCGGGGTCTGGGAAACTGATTAGCAGTCATCGGATTCTTTCCTCTTCCAGGATATTGCCGCTCTTTGTAGACACGATGGTTCTAGAAAACACATGCAGAAGACTTGAAGTGATAAGACAAAAAAACATTGACTCAAAATTCAATGAATGTACGCACAGGATGACATATAAGTGCATGTAGGTCCTCTCATTTAAGGATTTAATTATGCCAAAATAGAATTGGAAATGTTGAAGCCATAAGAAATAAAATTTTATCAAAAAATAATAGCTCCAGAGCCAAATAGGCCAGAAAATTAATACCAGGAGAGCTGCCTTTTCAAGCTGCTAGATGAGTAGAAAAATCAAACTTAAGCTTATGCTTCTTAAAGCAATTTTTTAGTTAAAAAATTTAATTTTTTTAACTAAAAAATTGCTTCAAGAAGTAAAGAGGAAGTCGTCCCAAATGAAGCCTTACTGCTAAATAGAAGTATATATATATATACTACCCATATTTAAAATCTTGGATGAAATATACCGTGTTGGGAAAATATGTTCCAGTTCCCCTTGGCTTTGGCTCAGGGCCATAAGTGCTGGGAAAAAAAGGTAAATTAATCGGATAGTAACCAGGAGAAAAAGGTGGCCTGGGTGTCACTCCATTTGCATTCATGGGCGTGTACATACTGCCACGACTCCATGCATCTCTGCTTTGGTGGTAAGCGTATGTGGGTGACTGATGAATTGGAAGAAAATATGTCATAGTTATCTGTTCTTGGCACCACCGAGCATAAGAAAGACTTCTAAAGTGCATCTCATAATCACCTGTGAGATCTGAAAATTTATTTGGTACATTGTAACTTCCATTGGTATCATTCCATTCATTTCCTGATGGGGTCTGGTTTGCGAAGTTTGCGAAGTGCAAACTTTCTGATGGGAAGGCACTACCATGATTGCTAGTGGAGGATGTACAACTTGATGATGAATCAGTCTCACAGGAATCAAGCTGCACAGAATTGCTCATTTCCTCAGGGGAGCCCGAAGCCCTATTAAAAGAAACACTTTGTAATGAACCCAAATTAACTGAATTGATCGTATCACTTGTTAAATCCTTTCCATTTCCATTTTCTGGAACATAAAAAGTGTGGGGAACATGATAAGCTTTACCGAATGATGAAATTCCAGCTTCACTGGTTGATACTGAAGTCGAGTAGTTTTCACTAATGTCAGTTGAAACAGAGGCTCTGACACTAGCAAGATCTTTTGCATCATCAATTATACGGACGAAGGAAGCAGCACCATCCACTTCAACACCACCTGATTCCAGATTTGTGACATTTTTCTGATTATAAGAGGATTGCCTTTGCAATGGTACTCTGTCATCATAACCATCCAAACTTGAAATCCTTATGTTTTTATTTCCTTCGGTTGAATCAATGCAAGCATCAGTAGTAAGAGACTCCGAACTTTGCTTATCTGCATGCTCTTTTTCAATATTTTCTGCTGAGGGAGCAAAAATCCCATTTACTAAATCTGAAGCACCGTCCAGGCATCTGGGAATCAAATCCTGCACATCTGGCCTTTCTCCACTTCCATGCCTATCAATAGTGTTTAGGAAGAACATATTCACTTCATTAGCAATACTTTTACCAGGAAGTAGAAGAAGCCGTCCAAGCTTCCAAGCACCATACGAAAAGGCACTACGTATTCTGTAAAAATTACCTACATGGGATGGAAAAGAAGTTTTAGTAGCATGTCTGTTGAATGCCTGAAGCAAAAAAGAGGCTTCAACATTTTACTGAGAGCAATGATAGGGAAGGAGAATAGCATGTCTGTTGAATGCTTGAAGCAAAAGAGAGGTTCCAACATAATATTGAGGGCAATGATAGGGCAGGAGAATATCATATCTTTTGAATGCTTGAAGCAAAAGAAAGGCTTCATCATAATACTACTGAGGGCAATGATAGGGAAGGAGAAGCTAACCTTTACTTACACTTCGTCCAAGATTATTGCTTTCTCTCAATGGGTCAACAATGTTTAGATGTTTCTTTATAAAATTTCGAGAATCTGACCCCTTTGGCGCAACAGAGAAATTATCTACACAGCTTCTGAAAAACTCCTTAGTTAGCAATAGGTTGCCGCCATCAGTCTCTACTGTCTCAGCTGCTAAAGGAAAAAAGAAAGGAAAAAAAAAAAAGAAATAATAATATCCTCTCAGAAAAACAAAACAAAAGGGGTTGCACTCCGATGAAAAAACCATTATACTCACCCGGTAGTTCCAGAAGAGAGGATACAGAGACAGGGCCATTTAGGCTGACGCAAAAATTGTCCCAGTCAAATTTACTGTAATAGTCCAGAAACTTATACAGAACCTACAAAATTTTAACTGTCACAAAAAGGACTTCAAGAAGCTAGAGATGTGGATGTCTAGAACTACATTTCCTGTGTCATTTGGAGAACTCACTGCCAAAGGGCCATGCAAAGATGAATGGAAGAGATGAAATATGTACAGGATCAACGTTTCCAGCGCATAAGTAGATATTAAACCATGCTGAGCACCAAGAATACGGCTTTCGTAATAACACCAAGCTTTGATCAATATGATACTGCGCTTAAAAAGATGATCCTTTCCAATAAGATGATCAACCTATATCAGCACCAAAATTTCAATATATACGCCATGCAAAATAGACAAAGAAACAAAAATATCATATAAATATTTTTTTTGTATCTATCTTAACCTTTTGGAGATGGTTAACAGTAAGGCATGTAAAATGAATATTAAAATGTACAAAAAGCTGAAGGATGTACTACATCTTACCTGCTCAAGGAAACAAAGTGTACACAATCCACCAATCTGATTGAAAGATATATCTACCACAATATTCTGAACCAAACATTTGACAAGTTTAACCTGCAATGCAGAATTCCCAATTTAATTAAAGAATACTGTCTTCTGATGCCCTTGGGTATAGCTTAATAAGAAAAGGTTCACAAGTGGCTTATTATATATGAAATAAGCATATTTTCTGGATTGCTACAGCATCTGACAATTAAAATTATACAACCTCAGTTTTAAATATATAGATATAAAACAAATGTTTGCAGATGCAATAAAATAATAAAATGCATGCACCAGCTATTCTTGAAACCTAAAGTTGAAACTTTTTGTGCTCTATTCATTAATGATTTTTATAATGAAAAGACAAGACAAAATTTAAATTCTGCAACTGGTCAATTTAGAATAGCTTTTTTTTTTCTTTTCCTGAAACCTAATTAATTCCATTTATTAAATACCATTCTTTCAGATTAACACAAACCAACTGCCTGCCTTTTTGCATTAACTTTGACCGCTCATAGATGTCAAATCCAATAACCTAATTTAATGGATAACTAACTGCAAGTAGCATAACTAGCACCAGATGCCAATGAACATCTAGAAGGTGGTTGGTGGATGTTACATGCTAAGGATATATAAAAATCTGAAATAGGATTAGTGGGGTTAAAGTGACCCGCACAAAATGGAAATGGAAAAGGCCAATTAGATGTGGTAAGCTTAATAACTCCAAAGGAAAGGCATAAAAATAGTACCATTCATCTCTAAAATCCAGGTTCAATTCTGAAAGTCTACTCAAACTCAGAAATGAAGTTTCCTATATCGTTACTACAAAATTTTCACAGGATAAAACTAAGTTGCTCATTTAATAAAGGCCACATTTCCACTCTTCAAATGGAATGGAAGAACAATCCTCTTCTTCTGTCTGGGCCCACTAATTAAAAACCCTTCAAACTTCACCCCTTAATCTCTTAGGAATGAAACATGAGTTATCTGTATTAGTTACATTTAGATCATAATAAACTGTTAAGTGCTGCAACCAAAAAGCCATGCAGCCTTCTTTTTTCCTTTTTAAAGTTAAAAAACAAAGGTATCCTTAAAATGAACCGAGTTAATTGTATAGCTACGTTTCCACTTCCAACCACATTTATATTACATAGTTCAAACTAATGTTCAGGATTCTTTCTTTTGCTCAATATAGGAACCTAAACTAATCCAATATATTTTTCAATTAGATTATTGTCTCTCTTCAAACTACAATATCATTAGATTATTGTCTCGCGTTGAACTGCAATTTCATACAAGAAACAAAAAAAAATTCTATGCCTTTAAATACCTTGCATAGAATACCTAGTCACGTTTAAGAAAGAAATAAAAGATACAAGCTTAGAAATTGTTAAGATAATTAATAAAGAGAAGCAAATTAATTTCTTGATACGTAGCATTTAAAATTATACTGCAATGAATTCTAACACATAAGGTCCAGATACTGAATCTATTCACCATACTCTGCAAGTTTACTAGCATGCACCACATTTGGTACCAGCGCAAAAGCCAGTAAAATGCCTCCCCCTTCCATTATAAGAAGCTACAACTATGATCAAGCTTAAGTTGAGCATCCACGTAGCTATACACAAAAATCAACATACTGCAAAGATATATTGATAAACATAATTGAAGACATGGAAAGAAGTGAAGTTATAGTAGCTAGCTACAAATTTCCCTTGAAATGAAAGAAAAAAATTGCTCTCCATTCTAAATGTGGGGATAAAACCCGCTAATATTAACGTCAACATAAATGTGTGAAGCCATGTGCAAGTAGAATCTTGCACATTTAACAGCAAAATCATAGAGCATTTTAAACTGTCATTAAAAGTGCTAAAAAAGCTAATCATTATTATTGATGAAGAGAACAAAATATCAACAAAACAGGTAAGAAAATTTAAATTTGAAAAATATAAAAGTTAAACCCTGTAAAATTATGGAGGAATATAAATTTATCCATTATTGTCACACAAAAAAGAAATATAAGTTCATTATATCATGGTTTAAAATTGCGCAATATGAGGCTCGCCTTTGCGCAATTCCAGTAAAAAACGCCTCGATGCTTACGCCTAGAGTTTTTTTTTTTATGAGGCTTGCGCCTCAACTTGGTTGAGGCCCGCCTCGTCTCACTGGCATGAGGCTTACCCCTCACGCTTTATATATTAAAACTTACATAAATCTTGAAGTAAATGCCCGACATTGGACTCTATAAGAGAGGAGGAAGGGGAGAGAACAGTTCACCATAATGATGATTCAAATGAAGAACCCCTTAGTGATGACAGTGCTTATGATTTATGAGTTCTTATGTGATATGTCATTGTTAATTATTTTTGGAAATTGGAATTATATGTTAATGAAAAGAATATTAGGATTTGGGAAAGATAGAATATTGAATTGAACTATATTTCATGTTGTCTTATTATTGAGATATTTTGATTTCACTTCATATCTTATGTTTTTTATGTTTTATATTATTCACTCATTAGTATATAAAAAGTTTATCATTTTATGTTTACGCAATTTTTTGATTTTGAGGCTTACGCCTCAAAACGCCTTGAGGCTTATGCCTCGCCTCACGAATGAAAAACGCCTCAATACCTGAAAACACAATTTTAAACATTGCATTATATAATTTGCATATATTATTGAGGATATCTTAGCTAATTTGCTTAGTATAATAACAATATAAATATTCATAGAGTGGTTTAAGAGTAGTTAGATTACATGGAATTCAAAGTGGAAGTTATTTCAATGAAAACCCCTCCTAGTTCCATGTAAAATCATTCACTTGATATCCAATTTTGCACGTATAATGTTGGCTAATCTTGGTCATGATTACTTTGTTGACTTGAACATTAATTTGAAAACATAGAAAGGGAGCTATAGGAACCCTCACCAAAAAACAATAATAACTGTCAATAACCTACCCGCTTACGCAACTGCATTCCATGGCCACACATGGTGACAACCATAAGGCAAAGGGAGGGCATAGGAGGGGCTAAATGTTGTTTTAGTGAAAAAATCTTTTTTTAGTTGTTATATGTTGGTTCTTATTTGACATGTTAATTCTATTTTTACTCGAGTATGTTTTTAGGCTATTTTATCTTTTCTTCCCCTTTGGATTGTCTTATAGTATAAATAGCAATGACTTGTATTGTTTGAAGATGGGTGATTGAATAAAATTCAGTTATGGTTTTTCTTCCCCAAACCGTGAGCACTCTCTCTCTCTCCCTTGTCTCTCTCTCTCTCTCTCTCTCTCTCTCTCTTGATAGAAACAGCACTCGGCGGAACAATACCAGAGAGCAATAAGCTCTCAGTTTAGGCAAGGGCTGCAGCAGAGGTGCAATTGTAGAAGGGGACTGGCTCCAGCTAGAGGAGAAGGTGCTGTTGCTGGACCGTTGGCACAAAAATTCAAAATCTCTTTCTTCTCGGTTTGTTTTTCCAACATTAGTAAATGTGAAATCTTTCAATTAATATATGATTTTGCATTCATAATTTTGATTAAATTTCTTACATATCGAGCTAAAACTTAATATTCTAACCAGAAGAACGGAAGCTAACCAGAACCTGCCATATATCTGTCAAAGCCAAAAGGCAGACATGACAAACACAGCATCCTGCTCATTCTCACTGCTGCCTTTTGTGGCCAAAGATGATGACAACCATGAGATAGATGATGTAGAAGAGCAGAAATAGAGGTTTGGGATGAAGCTAGGGTGCGGCGAGCTAAAGCGCTTTAATAAAAAAAGGTGAGCCAAAAATTTGTTGAAGTTGTTCATGATATGTATGATGAATCATTGACTAATTACAATTGTTGTGGAGTGATTGTTGGCATTGAAATTGGTTCAAATACAATCTCAATAGAGATCTAAACCAACCTAATTAAGGGATTCACCTGGGACCGATTAATAACTAATAAAGTTTGAAGCATGATGATTACGGCTCAATCAAAAGCCTTTTTGACAGTAAAATCATGCTCAAATATGAGAAGACAGAATGTGTCAAAAAAATAGTCCTTGATTAAATGCCAAAACAAGTTGAAACTTAATGAAATAAATTTTTGGTCAAGGGTAAGAGTGACACTTAGTAAATTGTGGCTTGATACAAATATTGATTAAAGCATGATCAATTAAACCCTCATCATCAGTTAATGGGTCAATCAGTCCAAGTGAGGCTCCTTTATTTATATTATAAAAAGCACTCAAGCTCAATCAGGAAAAAAAAATTCAGATTATGAATGAACATAAATCATGGGTTGCACCAATCAAATCAACCCAATTTATTGACCTATTTAACCTAAACTAGGATCAATCCTTGAAGCATCATAATAGGAAATTAACCCATCAAGGAAAATTGGTTGCACATAAAATGGAACATAAAGAAAGCTATTTACACGCCCAACCAGAATAGAAGTGGGGTGGGCATTAGCTCACCTATGACATTAAGGTAAAACTTGCTATCATGCTCCTTTCTGGCAACAATAAAAACAGTTCATCATTGTAACAAGATCTCGCCAAAGTTGATAGAAAAATTTGAAGGATAAGGGTCAGCCACTCATCATCCTCGATTGTTAATGAGAGCATCCCAACCATTATTAGGAGTCACCCTACATATGAGAAGCCTGTTGAAAGATTCATTGGAACCAGATACCATCGAAAAGGATGAAATGGTCATTGAAGTTCTCAAGTTGCTTGACCCTATTACGACATACAATCTAACATGAGGAAGATGACATTATATTAAGGGCCCCACCATCCATGCTGGATCAATCCCATGATGCCATCTCTACAACAAGGATCTTTTTGTACTTGTAAGATAGGCCCCGCTTAACCCATTAATTGCATTGCACCATCATCAACCTTGAGCATCCTCATTTTTGCAACACTTAACTTAATTGTATGCTTCTCTTTTTAATGACTCTGAAGTTGCCTCCATAATTCAAGTTTTTTATCAATAAGAAGAATATCATCATCAAGAATCATACAAGTTACATCCTCTTGTAAATGTCTAGTAAAAACATCCATGAATAAAAT